AACCACAAAGGGGAACAGACCCTGATGGGAGTGTGTGAAGGCCTCCTTGCAGTAGTCAGAATGTGGGGAGGAAAACAAATCAGGAGATCGAAAAGGCATGTAAGAAAGGCACTATTACAGTAATCACAGGGGAGTTCAAACTGCAGGTGGACTGGGAAAATCAGGTTGGTAAGTGGATCCCAAGAAAAGGAGTTTGTGAAATGTCTACGAGTTGGTATTATCAGAGCAGCTGTGGTAGAACCCACTAAAGAACAGGAAATTATGGATTTGGTGATGAGTAATGAGGCCGATTGAGAAGGAACCCTTTCGGGGTAATGACCATAATATGATAGATTTCACCCTGCAGTTAGAGAGGGAGAAGCTGGAATCAGATGTAATGGACTTCTGAGGGAGGGTCACCTGATCTGAAACATTAACTCCGAGTTTTTCTTCACAGATGCTGCCAGACCTTGCTGAGCTTTTCCAGCAACTTCTGTTTTTGTTCCTGATTTACAGCATCTGCAGTTCTTTCGGTTTTTAATTTCTAATGGCATTGCATTTGAGTAAAGGTAACCACAACAGTATAAATCATAGAGTTGTACAGCGTGGAAACAGACCCTTCAGTTCAACTTGTCCACGCCAACCAGATATTCTAAATTAATCTAGTCCCATTTGCTAACATTTGGTCCATATCCCTCTAAACCCTTCCTATTCATATAACCATCCAGATACCTTTTAAATGTTGTAATTGTACCAGCCTCCACCACCTCCTCTGGCAGCTCAGTCCATACACGCACCACCCTCTACATGAAAATGTTGTCCTTTTAAAGTTCACTTTTATATCTTTCTCCTCTCACTTTAAGTCTATACCCCTCCAGTTTTGGACTCACTCCCGTGTGGCAGGAGCTGGCCAGAGTTGATGGGAAGGGAAGCCTCGCAGGGAAGAGAGTGGAGCAGCAATGGTAGAGTTTCTGGGGGTAATTCAGGAGGCACAGCAGAAATTTATCACAAGGAAGAAGAAACACACCAAGGGGAGGACGAGACTGATTAGGGGAGTCAGGGACAGCGTAAAAGCAAAAGACAAAGCTTACAATGTGGTGAAGATCTGTGGGCAGCCAAAGGATTGGGAAGCCTTTAAAAACCAGCAGAGGATAACGAGAAAGGCAATGAGGAGGGAGAAGATGAAATATGGAAGTAAGTTAGCTAGTAATATAAAAGAAGATTGTAAGAGGATTTTTAAGATATCTAAAAGGTAAGAGAGAGGCAAGAGTGGACATTGGGCTGCTGGAAAATGAGGCTGGAGAAGTCGTATTGGGAAACAAAGAAATGGCAGAGGAACTGAGTAGGTACTTTGCATCAATCTTCATGGTAGAAGACTCCAGCAGCATACGAGAACTTCAAGAGAGTCAGGGGCAGAGGTGAGTGTAGTGGCCATCATTAAGGGGAAGGCGCTGGGGAAGCTGCAAGGTCAGAGATGGATAAACGACCCAGACCGGATGGATTACATCCCAAGGATTCTGAAGGGGATAGCTGAGGAGATTGTGGAGGCATTGGTGGTGATCTTTCAGGAATCATTGGAGTCAGGGAGGGTCCCAGAGAACTGGAAAGTGGCTAATGTAACACCCCCCTGTTTAAGGAGGGAGGGAGGCAGAAGACAGGAAACTATAGGCCACCTAGTCTGAACTCAGTCATTAGTTAGATTTTAGAGTCTATGATTAAGGATGAGAGTGTAGTGTACTTGGAAGTGCATGGTAAGATGGGGCTGAATCAGCACGGCTTCATCTAGGGAGGTCATTCCTGACAAACCTTTTAGAATTCTTTGAGGAGGTAACGAGCAAGTTAGAAATGGGAGAGCCAGTGGATATAATCTATTTGCATTTCTAAAAGACCGTTGACAAGGTGCTACACAGGAGGCTGCTAAATCAGATAAGAAGTCATAGTGTTTGGGGCAAGGTATTGGCATGGATAGAGGGTTGGCTGACTAGCAGAAGGCAGAGGGTGGGAATAAAGGGGTCTTTTTCAGGATGGCAGCTAGTGACTAGTGGAGTTCCACAGGGGTCTGTTCTGGGGCCACAGCTATTCACGTTATACATTAATGACCTGGATGAAGGAACTGAGGACATTGTTGCTAAGTTTGCAGCTGACACAAAGATAGGTGGAGGGACAGGTAGGGCTGAGGAAGAGGGGAGGCTGCAAAAGGACTTGGCCAGGTTAGGAGAGTGAGCAAAGAAGTGGCAGATAGAATACAATGTGGGAAGATGTGAGGTTATACACTTTGGTTGGAAGAATAGAGGCATAGTCAACACAGTTATGGAGCTGGAGGAACACAGCAGGTCAGGCAGCATCAGAGGAGCGGGACAGTTGATGTTTTAGGTTGGGATCCTTCATCAGGACTGCAGTTCTCGCTCTCTCAGAATAGAGGCATAGACTATGTTCTAAATGGGGAAAAGGCTTTGCCAACCTGAAGCACAAAGGGACTTAGGAGTCCCCTAGTTCAGGTTTCTTTTAAGGTTAACATGCAGGTTCATTTGGCAGTTAGGAAGGTAAATGCACTGTTAACATTCATTTCAAGAGGGCTACAATATAAGAGCAGGGATGTACTGCTGAGGCTGTATAAGGCTCTGGTCAGACTGCATTGGGAATACTATGAGCAGCTTTGGGCCCTGTTATCTAGGGAGGATGTGCTGGCATTGGAGGAGATTCAGAGCAGGTTTGAACATAGAACTGTACAGCACAGGAACAGGCCCTTCAGACCATGATATTATGCTGAACATGACGCCAAATGAAACTAATCCCTTCTGCCGGCCCTTGTTCTATATCCCTCTATTCCTTGTATATTCATGTGTTTGTCTAAAAGTCTCTTAAATGTCCCTATAGAATCTGTAAATATTTCCAAGAATACTCTCGGGAACGAAGGGCTTGAGGACTCTGGGTTGGTACTTGATGGAGTTTTGAAGGGTTGGTTGGGGGGGGGGGGAGTGGGGGTGCACTCTGATTGAAACTTACAGAACACTGATAGGCCTGGATAGAGTGGACATGGAGAAGATGTTTCCACTGGCAGGAGAGACTAGGACCTGAGGGCACAGCCTCAGAGTGAAGGGACGGCCCTTTACATCTGAGATAAGGAGGAATTTCTTCAGCCAGAGGGTGGTGACTCTGTGGAACCCATTGTCACAGAGTTGTAGAGTGTATTTAAGGCAGAGATAGATAGGTTCTTGATCATTAAGGGAATCAAGGGTTACAGGGAAAATCACAGAATCTCTACAGTGTGGAAACATGCCATTTGGACCATCAAGTCCACAGAGACCCTCCAAAGAGCATCTCATGCAGACCCACCCTGAATGCCTGCATTTCCCATGGCTAATCCACCTAACCTACATATCCCTTGATACTACAGGCAATTTAGCATGGCCAATCTTCCCTACCCTGCACATCTTTGGACTGTGGGAGGAAACCGGAGCACCCGGAGGAAACCCACGCAGACACGGGGAGAATGTGCAAACTCCACACAGATAGTCACCCGAAGCTGGAATTGAACCCAGATCACTGACACTGTGAGGCAGCAGTGCTAACCACTGAGCCACCGTGCTGCCCGAATAATGGGCTCTAAAACCTATCTAATGACTGAGGTCAGGCTAACTGGCCTACAGCTTCCTGTCTTCGGCCTCCCTCCCTTCTTAAACAGGGGTGTTACATCAACCATTTCCTAGTTCTCTGGGACCCTCCCTGACTTCAGTGATTGCTGAGAAAGCAGGAGAATGGATTTGAAAAACTCATCAGCCATAACAAAATGGCGGACCAGAATCGATGGGCTGAATGGCCTAATTCTGCTCCTATATCTTATGGTCCCAAGTATATCCTCAGTTAGATAGAGAGACCAAAATTGCATGCAATGCTCTGGCTGTGGTCTCACCAAGGCTCTGTATATGTGCAGTAAGACATCCCTATTTCTGAACTCCAATCCTCTTGCAATGATGGTCAATACAGTATTCCTAATTACTTGCTGTACCTGCCTGTCTCCTTTCATGGACTGGTGTACCCAGACAACGAAATCCCTTTGTCCGTCCACACTCCCAAATATATCACCATTTAAATAAAATGTTGCCTTTCTGTTTTCCAAACCAAAGTGCATATCTTCACATTTAGCCACGTTGTACTGTATCTGCCACATGTTTGCTCACTCCCTCAAGTTGACTAAATCACCTTGAAACCTCCTTCCATCCTCCTCACAGTCCTGCTCAGTGTTGTATGGTCAGCAAACATGGAAATGTTGCATCTGGTTCGTCATGAATAGCAGGGGGTCCTTTCAGTACCCACCAGTCTCTGCAGACCATTCAATTATTCCCGAAGCCTAGGCTTCATTGCTGTCAAAGATGGTTATCCCAACAATCCATGATTCCAAAGGAATTTCGGTATGAACTTACAGGAAATAAATGAACAGGGGTACAATGGATATTGGAGGTGAATGGGACAAACAGAATTGTTTTACAGAGAGTCAGCACAGATCAGATCGTCCAAATGGCCTCATTCTGTGACATAATGATATTAAATAACTCACTGAAAACCTCTCACGATTTTTAGCACCTCGATTAAACCCCAGAACCTTTTCTGCTCTGAGGAGAACAATTCCAGCTTCTCCAGTCTCTCCACATTCACAGAAGTCCCTCATCCCTGCTCCCATTCCAGTAAATCCCTTCCTAGAGGTCAGGGCCCAGCGTATGGGAACCCACTCAGATCTCAAAAGTTTATTTGTCTAGACCGAGTTTAAATTTGTATTCCATGTCTAAAATAATAAAAGCCAGAATCTCGAATGCTTCATTTAACAATCTTCTTACAATTTACTTATATCTTCAAATGGTGAGTGCAGGAACATACCAGATCTCTCTGCTCCTCTGGCGTATTTAAAGTTGAACCATTGAGTTACGTTACCTCGTCTCATTCTCTGAGCTAAAACATTGACAAGTGGAAGTTTAAACCAGTTACATTCAATGTGTGATGTTATAAAGTACAGTTTAATTTACCTGTGGACCTTCGTCACCTTCTTCACCTTTCAGTCCAGGTGATCCGGGAATTCCCTGTCACACAAGAGGAACAAGATCAATTAGAGTGAAATTGCAGTAGCTTTCTACATCTGGGTTTACATTAGCTTCAACTGTTCACTACAGCCTCTCGGTGATTTATCACAGAACATCCTCACCCCACACAATCCCCTCCCAGGGGAGAAACATCACAATAAGCAATATGACAGAATCGATTCAAACCAATACGTTCTGTTCTAATGTAAATTAAAAGAGAGCGGTCATCATGAAGTGATCAAGTTGTTGTAGGAACCTATCCAGCTTCATTCACCAATCAACAGAATTCATTTTCTCGGGATCTTTTCATGATTTTTCACGAGAGCTGCCTTTGGTTTTCAGGGGCTCCTTTATCTTTCTCGTTAACTTCACTCTTAAATAATCCAGTCACTGTAGTAACAATCCATTCTGGATTTGAATTTGGCGTTTGGATTTGCACAGAGACAGAACTAGAACAATTCCTCAATGCCCCCAGTGCTTCATTGATGTTTAAGCCACAAACTCAAGGAAATTATCAATATCCCAGATATCACGTTGTTTAAATTGACACAAGGCAATGGGCATAAGTTAACAACAACTAATTTTACAAAATAACTAACACACTGCTATACTCCAAAAAGACATCCCAAAGCACCCTTCTGATCTCCAAGAGGTCCCAGTGACCCCATTTGTTCTGAATGAGGTCCCAGTTGCCCCATGAGTTCTGAAT